TTTATCCTATGTAGAATCCATTGGGCTTCTTAAACTTGTGGATTCAAAGTTTTAGCCATCATTTTCTTCCCCATTTCTCTCTTTTCTCCTTCTGAAACTTCAATTAAATATATGTTAGTCTTCTCACTATATTCTTTGTGTCTCTTATCCATCTTTTTCTTCTTTCCATATAATTTGTTTCCCCAAACAGAAACATGGACAATATCTTTTGACCTATCTTCCAGTTCAATAATTCTCTCTTCAGTTGTTTCACCAGGGGTTACTACCTGTCCAAGGCCACTTTAATTTAAGTTCAGGGCTTGAGATTCCTGGGACCACCTAAGTGATGGGTATCTAGGCTAAAAGTCCTTGCAAGGGCTGGTTACCTTTAGTCCACCATTATCTTGAAGGCTTATCAAATCTCCCACTTGTTTGGGCCTTGAAATTAAACTTTTGTCCCCTTTGCTCATGAGGTCACCAAAACCAGAGCTAAGTTTCATGACTCTCTTCTGATTAATTAAATGCCCTCACAGCAAAAATGGCTTCTAGTGCTTGACTTACCTCTCTGGGTTTTTGTCTTCTTCTACATTTTAGCCTCATAGCTTTATGAGGGTTTTTTTCAGCTTTAATGAGATATTATTGACATATATGTAAATTTAAAGTGTACAACATGATGATTTGATACACATATATATTGTGAAATTATTACCACAGAAGATTAATTAACATCTCTATCCCCTCACATAATTACCTTTCTTTGTGTGGTGATAATTTTTAAGTTCTTCCAAATATATAATACATTATTATTAATTATAGTCACCATGCTGTACATTAGATCCCCAGAACTTATTCATCTTATGGCTGGAAGTTTGTATCCTTTGGCCAAACTCTCCCCATTTCCCCCAACCCCAGCCCCTGGCAACCACCATTCTGTCTCTATCTTTTTGAGTTCAGCTTTTTTAGATTCCACATGTGAGAACATACAATATTTATTTTTCTCTGACTTATTTCACATAGCATAATGCTCTCAAGGTCTACCCATGTTGTTGCAAATGACAAGATTTTCTTCTTTTTATGGTTGAATAATATTCAATTGTGTGTGTGTGTATGTGTGTGTGTGTGTGTGTGTGTGTGTATCACCTCTTCTTTATGCATTCATCTATTGATGAACTCTCATGTTGTTTCTATGTCTTGGCTATTGTAAATAATGTTGCAATGAACATGAAAATACTGATATCTCTTTGAAATCCTGATTTTAATTTTCTTCAAATATATATCCAAAATCAGGATTACTGGATTATATGGCAGTTCCGTTTTTAATTTTTTGAGGAAACTCCATACTGTTTTCCACAGTGGCTGCACCAATGTACACTCCCACCAGCAGGGCACAAGGGTTGTTTTTTCTCTACAGCCTCACCAACATTTGTTATCTCTTGTCTTTTTGATACTAGACGTTCTAACAGGTGTGAGGTGAGACCTCCTTGTAGCTTTGATTTGCATTTCCCTGATAATGAACAATGTTGAGCACCTTTTCATGTACCTCTTGGCCATCTGTATCTCTTGGGAAAATATTTATTTAGTTCCTCTACCCATTTTCTAGTTGGATTGTTTATGGTTGTTTTTTGTTTTTTATTTATTTATTTGGGGGGGTTGGGTTTGGGTTTTGTTTTGCTTTGTTTTGCTATTGAGCTGTATGAGTTCCTTATATATTTTGGATATCAGCCCCTTATCAGATGTGTGGTTTGCAAATATTTTTCTCCCATTCTGTAGGTTGCCTTTTTATCTTGCTTATTGTTTCTTTTGCTGTGAAGAAACTTTTTAGTTTGATATAGTCCCACTTGTTGATTTTTGCTTTTGTTGCTTGTAATTTTGGTGCCATATCCAAAAAATAGTTGCCAAGACCAATGCCAAAGAGCTTTTTCTGTGTGTTTTCTGTGGTAGTTTTACAGTTTCAGGTATTACATTTAAGTCTTTAATTCATTTCAAGTTATCAGTGGTGTAAAATGGGGTACAATTTCATTTTTCTGCATGCGGTTATCCAGTTTTCCCAACACCATTTATTGAGGAAACTATCCCTTCCTATTAAGTCTTCTTGACTTTCTTGTCAAATATTAGTTGACTGTATATGCAAGAGCTTTTCCTTGGGCTCTCAATTCTGTTCCACTGGTCTATGTATCTATTTTTAATGCCAGTAACACTCTTTCAATTACTGTAGGTTTGTACTAAAGTTTTAAAATCAGGAATTATGATGCCTCCAGGTTTGTTCTTTCTCAGGATTGCTTTAGCTATTTGGGGTCTTTTGTGGTTCTGTATGAATGTCAGGATTTTTCTATTTCTGTGAAAAATGCCATTGGAATTTTGATAAGATAAGTTTCATTATTTTTAGTTTTTTCTTCCTATATTTCATCCAGTTTATTTACTTGTCTTCATTGGGACTGTTAGTCCAAATTACTTAGACTGACACTACAAGCAGCAGAGATATACAATACCCGCCTAACTGCTTTCATTGCCCTCAATCTCTCTTCTTTCCAGTTCCTCCTTTACAAAGTAACTGTGATTATTCCAAGATACCACTCTGATTGAGTCATTCCCTTGCACAAACCCTTCAAGAGCTTAATGTTGATTCTAAAATGAAAATCGAATTTCTTAGTTTGTACAATTAGGTCCAAATATCTCTTTCTTGCTCCATTTATTTACTGTACACTGAGTGGGTGGTCCTCTCTAGGGCAGGTTCTGCTTAATCTCTTGCCTTTTACCTCTCTTACCCCTTTCTTACTCCAAATTTACCTACACTCCAGTCGAACTGGAACACTCACTGTCATGTGGCAGACCTGGGTCCAGAACACAGATGGTCTAACTAACTTCTCCCCATCTCCCTTTCCCTCCCCCTCTGACCCAATTAAACCATTAATTAATTAATTAAAATCTTAAAAAAAAAAAAAAAGAAATTTCAACCCAGCATTACCTCTAGGGAGAGCAGAAGTGGGGGGAAGATCCCCTGGGATGTGAGGTCTGGAAGTGAATTCATCACCATCATCAACTTTTTGTCAATCTTCATAGTCACAGGGGCACCTAGGAATAAAATTTCAAGCTTCAGGCTTGTTTTTCATGAAAAATGAGAGATGGATTGCCTGTGAAATTTGATTCCAGGGTGCTGGGAACATCCTGCATCTAAATAAATCTACTCCCACCTGCTGGCGATTGCCTGAACATCCAGCCAAAGTTGAATCACACCAAAAAACAAAACAACGTTCTGGAAGTAGACAAACCTGGAAACAGGGATTATAGTTTGGACCTCCACTGTTATGTGACCTCAGGCCAATCCCCTTTCCTTCTCTGGGCCTCGGTTTCCCTATATTACAATCCAGATGGTTGGACAAAATGACCTAGAATGGCCCTTCCATGTTTATCAAGCAAGGATTTTTTCTAGAAGGATGCCTGGGTGAGCAGGGATGATGGGGGCATAACTAACAGCAGTAGGAGTGGGTTCAATTGACCCACTTCTGTATGTGATAGTGACATATGGATCCCACCATCCTTTTTTATTTCTGCACCTATGTGGAAAGGAGAGCATTTGCTGCAATGGCAAGGGAAAGAGGGGGCAAGGAGATGGCAAAGGAAGGTGTGAGGGTGTTCTGCTCTTAAAAGAAAACAGGGAAGTATGATACACATTTTTTAAAAGTTTGCTTCTAAAATGGTTAAGAAAGCTGCAGGAAACAGCTAACCAGGCAACTGAAGCTTTGCTGAGCACAAGCAGTTCCAACTCACTTCACCAAATACTGAGGGAAAGTGGGAGAGGGCTGTATTTCTGTGTGAATGTTCTAGCTAACCAAGAGTGACCTTGAAATTCATTTTCATTGCAACCCTCCTTAAGAGGTTCAGTGTTAGTAAAAGTGACTGAGGTCTATTTGTTGCTTGCCCATCTGTCCCATGGGCTCAAGGGCCGTCTTTCTGAACTTGTTTTGTCATGTATCAAAGATGGGAAAGACAGAGGGGATTAAGTGGAGGAATTTCCTTATCCTCTGACATCCTTTTGTTTCATAGGACAGTATTCAGGGTAGTGGGAAGAATAAGAGCCCTCTAGTCAAAATGCCAGGCTTTTCCACACGATGGGGCCAGAATGCAAAAGCGTTGCAGTGGACGGCTCTTCAAAGGCTAACTCCCTCGAACATCTGAAACGCTGGCCTTTGCTTTCTTTCCCCTTCAGGGTATGAGCCCTGGACCCTCACTTCAACTCTGCATGCCCTGGCTGTGTGACAGAGTCACATCTCAGAGTGATCCTGATTGGTGAATCCTTCCAGTTCCCTGAACTTTGTCCTGGGGACCTAAACTTGGGGCCAAGGGCATTCCGAAAAATTAGTCTTTAAGAAACTCTTGGGCTATTGGAATCCAATTTCCAGCCTGATGGAGGGGCACTCCTGCATGGCTAGAGCTCTGTCATAAAACCCACTGGTGATCCCCCACCACTCCACCCGGAAGCAAGGGACGCGGGATTACTGGTGCGTCAAGGGTTTGGGAATGAGCAGCAGTCAGTTATGTTCTAACTCCAAATGTGTCCAGCTCTTTCAGAATGCAGATTCAGCCAGGGCATTCAAATCACCTCACCCCTGTCACCGCAAAAAACAAAAAACAAACAGCAACAACAAAAATCCCGAACAAACTCTTGGGCACACGCTATTCCAAGAGAAAAGCACATTTCGCATTTTTGCAGAGAGGAAGAGTAGGACCCACTGGGTGCCCAAAGGCGCGGATCTGTGCCCCTCCCCCAGCAGCCAGATTCCCACCCTCGCCCCCTTCCCCCCCCTCGGCCCCGCCCCTGCCAGTGTCTGAAGCTGGCCGGGGTAGGACTGCAGAGGCCTGAAGGGGCGGGGGGCCGCGCGGAGCGCAGGCTGCGGGCGGAGGCAGCAGCGCGCGCCTTTTTGTGCGGCTCCTGGCCCCTGCTGGATTGGTTCGGTCAGCGTTGCCGTCGGAGTGGGCGGAGCCAGCCGGGCGCAGGGCTTGGAGTCCAGTCGCAGCCAGAAACGGTCGCAGACGGAGCGCACTTCGCAGCTGCAGGTGCACCTTGGGGCCGCTGCGTGGGGCAGAGCTGCTGGGGGGCTGCTCCTCCTGGGCTCTGGGCTCCAGCTCGACCCCCGCGTTCCCTGCTTCCCGTACCCTCGCTAGTGTCTCATTAGAGACTCCTAGCGACCCCCCCAGCTCCCTCTCGCCCCGCACTGCCTCCATCCCATGCCTTTCCCCCGCTGCAGACTGCCGTCTCTCGCGCCTTCTAGCCCGGAGCAGTGTGGCCATGGGTATCAGAGCGATGCTGCGAGCCGCCGTGCTCCTGCTACTCATCAGGACCTGGCTCGCGGAGGGCAACGGCCGCAGTCCTACCCCAAAATTCCACTTCGAGCTCTCCCCTACCGTGCCCGAAGTCATCTTGAACCTCTTCAGCTGGTAAGCGGGTACCGCCAGCCTGGGCATGGCGGCGACAGGGACCCGCGGGCGGCCTCTTGGACGGAGCGGGCTGGGGTAACTTGAACCCGGTTCGCCGAGCCCTGGCACTTGGGTCCTGCCTGCCGGTGCCTGGAGGGGGATGGGGTGGGAGTGGGGGTGGCCGATTGAAAGAGAGCTCTGTGCTTCAGCCCACCTGTTACAGCGGCGCCTCATAGAGCCCCGCGTGTGCCCAAACTGCAGCCCTGAGGGTGGGGGGAGGACGGTGCCCTCACCCCAGGGTCTGCCAAGGCCCTGGGCAGGTTTTCCCAGTCATATCCATTGGCACCTGTGGGGTTGGGGTGGTGGCAGTACAGAGTGATGGACAACTCACAAAACAGAGAGAGTATAGAGACACCTGTTTGAGTCCGGATTTTAGTCTGTTCCCTGAAGCGCGTGCGTATGTTTGTGTGTGTTGAGCGGTGCGAGACATTTTCCAGTGCCGCACGTAGAAAGTATTGACTCAACCTCATCGGAGCCCAGACAGTGCAATCAGTGGCTGCATAACCGTACAGCTGTGTGGCCTTGGATGGGTGTGCTTTTGTGCTTACTCCTGTGAAAACATTTGAAGGTTCAACGGGCTTTTTCTGTGTTTGATTTCAAGTTTGGGTCTGCAAATATCTGAAGAGATGTTAAAACAAACAGACTTTACATGTAGCTCATACAAAAATGTGTATTTGCAGGAGCCACGGATCCTGAGCGCTGTCCTATGGGTAATGTGTGGTACTAAACAGGCGGGAATGCGTTGTTTTAATTCGGGAATAGTACGTGTGTACACTTTGGAATGATGCAAAATGAAATGTTGTCATTAAAGATGATTAGAAATAATTTTTAAATGACAAGCCAGAAATGAACGTGTATTCAGAAAAAAGTGGGGGGTGGGGGCGTATAGTCTGGCAAGGTTCCAGCAGACAGCCCTGCAATGTCCTCCACCCGACATACCAGACTGCGCTAGTGAACTCTCTCTCTCTCTCTCTCTCTCTCTCTCTCTCTCTCTCTCTCTCACACACACACACACACACACACACACACACGTGCACACTGTGATTTGCAGGGACTGATGTCTGTTCCCTGGTCAATGCGTCAAAGATCCTAACAGTCATAGTGAAGCCCAGGGCCTGTTCTCATTCACAAACCCCTTTTGGGGAAAAGAGCCCCACTGAATGTCTAGGTGAATTGGCTGAGCTTCAGAGACTTCTAGAAAGGCCAGCTCTCTGCAGGGCTGAGCTGGGTCCACTTACATGGGCTCACCCAAAACACGTCTAGGCTGGAAGCCTATGCTTAGCCAGAGAGATGTCTGTTCCCAGAATACATGTCTTTTTGAGGACAGCCCTTGGGCCCCCAAAATCTAAAATGGTTTGATTGGGTGAGGGTCTTTAATCTCTGCTACATGAGCAAGGCTCTCTCTGCGTCATGTGCCATATATCAAGTCTTAAAAAGCAGAGTTGTATAAACACAAGATTTACATAGACGTGAGAACAAAATGCCCAGTCCTAGCCTAGGTAGGGGAAATGTGACTGAGCTGGAGAATGCGAACTGGCTGGCTCAGCTCAGGGGGACACTGAGGGTGGAAGATGACCTTTCCTGAGGCAATCAGGTGCCCCTGGAAGGACTCCCACCGACCTGGAAAGCTGCATCCAGGCTGATGGCAAGATGGGGCTTCTTAAGGGGTTGAAGTAAGGCATTTATCTCAGGGCTTGAACCTGCCCACTCCCTCCCCTCTCGACTTCTCCTACAGTCTCCCCGCCTCATGCCCCCCTCCTCCCCAATCCTGCCTGGTAATAAGTATCCAGTCTTTGTGCCCCATTCTCTAGATAAAAGCGGAAGGGGGGAGGGGAAAAAGAGTCTGCGTCACTGCTGCGCTTCTGGCTGACTCACTGTAGGGAGGGAGAGGAGCAGGGAGAGATGGGTACAGGTTTGACTGTACATGTCTGCATGTGTGCAGGAGCAAAGAAGGCCCTGGCATGTTGATACCTGGGGTGTTCTTTGTTGTTTGTTCCCTGAGAAGCAATGTGGCATTTACTGATGACTTCTCTGTTTCAGCAAAAATTGTGCAAATGAAGCTGTGGTTCACAAGATTTTGGACAGGGTGCTGTCGAGATATGATGTCCGTCTGAGGCCAAATTTTGGAGGTAAGACCCGTCCAGATACTAGAAGCCTTTGTGTTAGGTGGGAAAAGAGCTGAGACTGATGCAACGAGACAGCCCCACTCAGGACGCTGACCAGTGGCACTCCCTACCTTCCTACCGCTGCGGACAACCTGCATCAGAGCACTTCCGGGCCCCCAACCCCCAGGCCTTTTGCTCTGCCCCGGCAATTTCCCACTTCTTCGCCTTCTTATGCAAGGGGCCTTTCTGCTCCCTCCCTTACGACAGCCTGAAGTGCGCTCCCTGGTGTGGCTGGAGAAGCAGTAACCACAGACAAAACTGCTGGGTTTCACAGGCTCTCCAGTTTTCCGCTACATCTATGGGAGGGGCACACATTCTTCTACTTGATCACACATTCTTTGCACCTTAGACACTTGCAAAGTGATTAGCTAGTGCAGCTAGTTCAAAACTAAGGGCATGGTCTTCTCCGTCTAGTTTGCTTTTCCCACCGGGGTCCCGGGCACTTGCACCTCTGCCACCCCTTCCCAAAGCCTTCAGCTCCCACCAAATTCAGTTCATTCAACACACTACAGTCAGTGTGATCTTTATAAATCCAGCCTGATCACCTCACGAACTTTTGATGGCATTATTTAACTGCCAGGTATAATCCAAACTCCTTAGCCTCACACTCAGACCTCAAGCACAGAGATGAGAAATGACAAGGAAACTGAAACAGGAAGCCCATAGATCAGTTTCTCCTTTAATTCCTGCCTGTCTCCACCCTCAAAAGGGTGACTGGGCTCAATCACACAGCTTTAAGGGACAAGCAATCTGCTCCAACCCCACAGAACAGGAGTAGCATTCTTTGGCCCAGGGGCCACCCAGGAAACCTAGACCAAGGACAGACAAAAGGAAGGGTGTACTAAATAGAAGTTAGTCACATTTCGGCTCAAAGGAAACAGAGAAAGAGCTAAAAATCAGAGTGGCTAAGTTGGAGAAAGCACTCCACTTCCTGCAGGTGGTAGAACTAGACACCTGCTCTAAAGAGCTCATGAATGCTAATGGTTCACATTTGCACATATGAATAGAGGTCTTCCGAATACACAATCCCTTCACCCTAAAGGGCACACAGCCGGTGAGGTCTACAGTGTGCTAGACCAGTGTGGGGCCCTGTGATTTGCCTGGAGGGCCACCTGGAAAACCAAAGCCCCAAGCTTTGGAAGTGGGACACTTAACTGGTGTCGCCTTTGCTGTGTTGCTCCGAGTGTGGGGACAGAAGGTACAGTCCTGGATCCAAGGTGAGTGTGCACTGGGCATTAGAAAGCTGGAGTGGAGCCAGCACCTTGTGTGACACTGGTTTCGGAACTGCTCTGGTGGCTGTCAAGGAAGTAGCTACTACACTTCCTCCTTTCCTCATTTCCACGTTTCTCAACAAAGGCTGACCAACAGCCATTCAAGTACACCAAGCACACCCTTTCCACTGTTTCCGGTTGCCATCTCCGCAGACATCCGGGGCCAGGGGGAGGGAGCAGGGGCAAGGACCAGCCTCTGGGGATTATCAGGTGTGGCTGGTCCACAGTAGCTCCAAGGCACCTCACCACCGTCTTTTGAGCTAACTTGGTTCTATTTACACCCAGTGCCTAACCTCCTAAGTTACACTAAACTTTATGGGCATGTAGACCTGGGGCATATGAGAAAAGATGGGTCCCTGATGAAGGTGGCAGAGCAAGGACAGTGCAGGACCTTCTAGCATTTAGAGAGAAGGAGGCTGGGGTGGGGGGGGGTGCCGATCAATGGGACACTGGGTCAGGGGTTTCAGGGTTGGGGTAGCCCAGGACTCCCTTTAATGCTTCCCACTAGACACAGAATCAAATTCCCCTCTGTCTGAAGTGAAATAGAGATTCAAGGACACACAACACACACACACCACACACAGAGGCCTCACCTGACTGTTGTCAGGCTCGGTGGGTCAGTAATGAGGCTGTGGGAGCCTCATTACTTCCTTGAGAGGAGGAGAAGAAAGGGCCGGCTGCTTCTTTCTGGACAAGAGAAGTGGGATTCCACAGTGTTGCCAAAGGCAGGCCCTTGAGGACTTCACCTAGTTCAGCACCTGGCATGACATAGGTATAGAGTGAAGGAATGAGGGGGACATCTTCATCATTCCTTCATTTATCTGTTCTTCCTCTGCTACTCTGGTGGCTGCTAAGGAGGACAAGGGCTTGTGGTAGCAAAATTTCCAAGAGCGAAATGTTCTTTCTGCCTTCCTGAGCCCATCAGGAGGGTAACAAAGGGATGTGAGGCTGAGGCCATCAAAACAGAGATAGAATTTAGACACCTTATCTGGAAATTTCTTGTTCCCCCTCCATGGAATACCGTGGCTAAACTCTCATAAGGTGTCCCCACTAGATGGGTAAATTAGAAAACGGTCCCAGGTCTCCTTCCTCCAGGCTACATCCCCAGGCCAGGACTCATAGCTTGGTGAGGGAAATGTGGACTGCATTTCAGCTCCCACACACCCCTTCCACTGAGGGCCCTTGGACAGGACTATGTCCTGGCCCTTTAGGGTTCAGGTCCCCCAGGATTCCACTGTACGGGATGGGGTTGCCTGAGTAGCACAAAGTGGTCTAAGATGAGAAGTCTGATCCAAGAGTGAGGTGGGGGCGGGGAGGGCTGCATGGCCCCTCTAGAGCTTGTTGCCTGCTTAACATGCTTTTCACCCTCTAAAGCCATGTAGGGAGCCTGAAAGGCTATAAGAAAGAACTACATTTCTAGAAACCCCTGTCACTACGTGTATTGCTGGAGTCTGGGCCCATTTACTTCTCAGCTGCCATTCGTATGCTGATGCCCAACCCCATGTCACTGCTTGAAACAGTGGGGTAGGAATAACACTTTTCCCTCTTGGCAGCTCAGCTCCTGGGCTATCAGCCTGCAGTGAAGCCAGCAGGCTAAATTGCAAGTGTCATGCATTTATGTCATGCATGTTCCCATAGCGTAACACATATAGAATAATGGCTTAGCTGTGGGGCTAGGTAAAGACAGCTTTCAGCCAACAGGAAACAACAAAAAGTGTTTTACCACAGCACCTTAGAGTTTACTACATATTTTCAAATCCATTATCACATTTGAGTGGGCAGTGCTAACACCTGGGACTGAAAAGGAAAGCCCGGAGACAGAAAGACACTCAGACACACATTCCAATCACACTCAGATATTAACATACCCAGACACCCTCACACATGCACTCGCAGGAACAAACTCACAAATTCAGTCACTCACAAATTCAGTATACACACTTACCTACCCTCACGTGCGCCTGCTCACATATTTATACATGCTCACACATCTGTGTACATACGAACATGTGTACACATACACGCATGAACATGTTCTCACAAACACACTCAAAAGTTTATCCACACACAGGGCTGCCTGGGTGGCTCAGATGGCTAAGTGTCTGACTTCCACTCAGGTCGTGATCTTCGGGTCCTGGGATCAAACTTCCGGCTCAGCAGGGAGTCTGCTTGTCCCTCTCCCTCTCCCTCTGCCCCTCCCCACCACTCGTGCTCTCTCTCTCTCAAATAAATAAATGAACTCTTGGGCGCCTGGGTGGCTCAGTTGGTTAAGCGACTGCCTTCGGCTCAGGTCATGATCCTGGAGTCCC